ACTGGCACTTGATGAACTCCAGATCTTCACGAACAACAATAACAGCGATGGAGTTATTTTTTTTTATAATCAAAGTACAAACCTGTTGTATGAATTGCCACAGTCGGCCCGGGGTTGCCACGATCACATGCGGTTTGTAGCTTAGAAGACGTGATTGTTTTTGCACGGAGATTCCACCCACGATGGCCTCGATCCGAATACGGGGTTTCACAAACTCCGCCAACATGCGCAAATGTTGACGCACCTACAGATCGGACGGAGAAAGACGAGTAAGTGGAAGTGGGGCATGTGATATAAATGAAATGAGGGCAAGCGACGGGTAAGGTCACTTGATTTACCTGAAGAGCCAGTTCTCGAGTCGGGAGTAAAACTAAGGCATAAACGCGACCACATTTAGGATCCCCGGTTTGGATTTTTGTTCCCACTGAGGCAGACGAGCACACACTGTATTCGGTCAATGGCCCGTCTGCTAGCGAGTGAACCGCTTTGACTTCCCCAGTGTCCGCATCCAGTTCTTCGATTACTGCTAGATTCAAATAGTTGTCCCGGTTGAATGATAAGTCAATCTGTGCATCAAATGGCGACTTCTTTTTTTTGTTTTTCCGCTTTTTTGAAGTCGATTCAGTATCGGCACTGTTTGGCACTGTATCGTCCGGTGCAACAACCACATCCATGGCTTCTTCCACACACGCAGGATTTTCACTGTCCGAGTGTACCGAATCAACGGTGGGGTCTTTAGTTGTCTAGATGGGACGAGCCAGGGAAATAATGTACGTAAGAAATTAACAATGCGCGAACAAGCCGAATAAATGCGAATCAGGTTGAAAGATCTGGTGAAATCTAGTGATCTACCGGCCTTGCAAAGCTATCAACCTTTGGTATACATTGACCCTTGAAACTGCCATGGCCTAACTGCATGAAAAGGAATATCCAAACCTGTTGATCCGTCGAAGGCAAACATGGTTTAAATCTCCAATGGTAGAGAGGTTTATCTTACTATTCCCTTGAAGAGTAATGGACTTTTAGTGAAACTGGAACAATTTGCCATGCTCGATATTTTCGTATTGGAAACATTCATTCAATCCTAACTTTCTTCGTATTGGTCGATTGAAGGACAAAAGTATATGGATAATAGTTGATCAAATGGAAATTCAATTTCTTCAGTATTTAACGAAGAAACCGTTAAAGTTGAATCAAACTTTACCAAACACCCCTGGGTTTCGTTTCCAGATGTAAGACAACGGATAAGAGACATCCTCTGAGAAACATCTGAGCTAGTAACAGTCGGGTCATGAGGTGGCTTATAACATCCCTTCGGGTTTTCATCAACTGACCAACTTTCAACAACCGCGGATCAAGGAATCTGAAGCATCCGAAAACGCCATAGCCTGGTAAACCGCTCGACAGATGGGGTTGAAAAAAGCCCGAAACCTCAGACGGACAGACAGACGTTTTAAGATCAGTGTTAGCGGACATTCCGTTGTATAGGGACAGAATCTATTGTCAGAGTTAGTTAATCTATTTTCAGTCATAGTTAACAGCGATCCATGGATGCCTAGGATGAAACCGGACCAGTCAAATAGCGAATGAATCACTTAAGGGTTATTAGAAACCGTGCACTAACACACTGTCGCATTCGGTTATACCAAAGTTAACGATGTCTTTGATATAAAGTCGTGACACCAGGGGTTTCTCTGGTACCAAACACCCACGAAACTTCACGATCAGGTTGCTTACGTGTTTCACGAAGCCCACTTATCCTTCACAAAGAGCCACTAGTAGTAAAAGTAAGTAAACTAGTCTCAATATGAACTAATTACACAGAACTGGCAGATGTTTCACAACATATTAAGAAAACATATCTAGAACGTGTTCGTGTTACTTCCCGGTTGCCCGGGCCGAGGAAGGAGGATAACTTCGGGGTCTCAATCCGAAGCCTTGGGCTAGAAGGCCACACCTTCAAAACAGCAGGCTGGAGCTTAGGGTTTGCAGTTTACTGGGCAGAGGGCGGTGTCCAGTTCGCCGGATCATACCCTTTAAACGGGGTCAAACTTCTTAGGTATCCAATACACCTAACTGAGCCGAGAACCACTGCCACAACTGGGAAGGTGTAGGTGTCTATGGTTCGTACGCCTTTTCTTGGTTGGTTTGGAATCAGGTTTTTAGCC